CCAAGGTGCAGGGATTATAAATGTGAGCCATCACCTTCAGCCAATTCATGACGGTTTAAAAAAAAGGCATATAAAGAGAACAAGTGCCCTGTCTTCTATCATACAATCAATTCTTAATACTCTGTCTTTTCAAGAATGCATGCTTATTTTCTACCTGATGACTTGGAATGGGACTTTGACTCATTAAAATACATATTTGTAAGTACTATGTACTCATAGCTATACTTTAGAAATATTCATAAAGATTTCCATGCTTCGGTCTGCTTCTTGATATAGGTCCATTTCATTTAACAAAATAATATATGATAAATCAGCATTTATTTTGCTGATTTAAGGTTTTCATCCAAAAGTTCAACAATAGCTTCTTCATCTGCTGATTGGAGCAGTCTCTGAATTAGCTGTTCCAGGCATTTTTCACCACATAAAAATTCCTGGTAAAAGAGAGTTATTAAAATTATTAAAAATGAAGAAACAAAAAGTTACATGTATATTTATTTCATTTCTTTACAGTCATTATTTAATAGCAACAAAAGATTACTAATGTTCTACAATATAATGAAGACAATTGTTAGCCTGGGAGGATTCCCAGTTTGTAGTGGCTTTTATGTAAAAAATGAATCTAAAAGAGCAAATACAATTCTACTCTTTCTTAAATGGTTTAAGTTAGCAGTTTGTTTTAACATCAATCTTCTGAGATTTGGATCTTTCCAACTACTCTGGAGACAACAAAATCAAGGATCTGAATCAACTTTTGAAAGCAACCATCTCTGTCTTTAAAATTCCATTGCTTGGCTTTTATGACACCACCATTCTTGGTTCTCCAACCATCTTTGGGAAAATGTTTGCTGAATTCTTTCTCTTCCTGTATCTTAAGAAGGCAGCTTTTTATTTTTGTCCTGAAAATCCTACCCTTTTCACTCATATGATGTTAATTAACAAAAGGAAAAAAAGATTGAAACGTCTTAGTATCTCAAGTATTTTGTTGCCACGTTAACATGCACATCGTTCCTTGCCAAATCCTCTGGATCTGGCTCAGAGGACGCCTTCCCAGACCATTCCAGCTTACCCTTCTCATGCCAACTCTCCAAATTTAGATCATTTAATACGTAAGTGGTTTATGATAGTTTTTTTTCTTTTTTTCTTTAGAGGTAGAGTCTTGCTCTGTCACCCAGGCTGGAGTACAGCAATGTGATCACAGCTCACTGTAACCTCAAACTCCTAAGCTCAAGAGAGCCTTCTGCCTCAGCCTCCCAAGTAGCTACGACTACAGGCGTGCACCATCATGTGGCTAATTTTTTTATTTTTATTTTGTAGAGACAGGGTCTCATTATGTTGCCCAGGCTGGCATCAAACAGTTTTTTTCTTAAGTTGGTTTTAAAATCTAGAAGTCTTGTGTAATAGAAAAAAATATTTTTCTTGAAATATCTAGGAGTGAAGTGTCTTGAGGTCTGCAACTTGCTTTCAAATGGTTCATCAGCAACACAGGTATAGAGAGAGAAAGAGGAGGTGGGAGAGAAAAAAAAGGCAAATATAATTTTAAAAAAAGAGAGAAAAGGCAAATACAGCAAAATGTTAACAATTGTCAAATCTAGGAACAGGCTCTATAGCATTCATTGACCTAATCTCTAAACATTATGTATGCTTGAAAAATTTCAAAATAAAAAATTGAGAAAAAAATTTCTCATGTTTACCTCTAAATAATTCCATCAGGTGAAAAGTGTCTCAGTTAGATGTCCCTGTAGCATTCCCTACAGTTATCCTCTGAAAAAAGGCTAAAATAATGGCTTCAGATATTTTTCCTGTGTAATACAAATTCTGTGCAGTAAAGTTGTTGGGATTGGCCGGCGCGGTGGCTCATGCCTGTAATCCTAGCACTCTGGGAGGCCGAGGCGGGCGGATTGCTCGAGGCCAGGAGTTCCAAACCAGCCTGAGCAAGAGCAAGACCCCGTCTCTACTATAAATGGAAAGAAATTAATTGGCCAACTAAAAATATATACAAAATTAGCCGGCATGGTGGTGCCATGCCTGTAGTCCCAGCTACTGGGAGGCTGGGCAGGAGGATCGCTTGAGCCCAGTAGTCTTGCAAGGTTGCTGTGAGCTAGCTGACGCCACAAGTACTCACTCTAGCCTGGGCAACAAAGGGAGACTCTGTCTCAAAACAACAAAAAAAAAAAGTTGTTGGGATTAGTGAATTTGCATATTCCCATATTTTATTTTTTTTTTATTTAATTATTTTTTTTTCTATTCCCATATTTTAGAACTGCTTAAAGTTTAGACATTGGCTTAATGGAAATACTCTAATGTTGCTATCTGAACAGTTAAAGTTTTTTTTTTTTATTTCGGCATGTTTATGGGGCAGTTAAAGTTTTGATGTAGGTATGAACTAATTTTATATTTAGTCTTGCTTGAATAGTCTTAGAGTTGAACTTTAGGTGAGTGTACACATCTATCTCCCAAACTGTAAAGGAAAGGATATGTCTTGATACCTCTGTATTCCCCAAAGCACCAGCATATAGCAAAATCTCCAACTCTAAAATTAGACAGCAAAAGCAGTATGATATAATTTTTTTTTTTTTTTTTTTTTTTGAGACTGAGTCTCACTCTGTTGCCTTGGCTCGAGTACCTTGGTGTTAGCCTAGCTCACACCAACCTCAAACTCCTGGGCTCAAGCAATCCTCCTGCCTCAGCCTCCTGAGTAGCTGGGACTACAGGCATGTGCCACCATGCCCAGCTAATTTTTTTCTATATGTTTTTAGTTGTCCAGTTAATTTCTTTCTATTTTTAGTAGAGACAGGGTCTCGCTCTTGTTCAGGCTGGTTTCAAACTCCTGACCTTGAGGGATCCACCCACGTTAGCCTCCCAAAGTGCTAGGATTACAGGCGTGAGCCACTGTGCCCAGCCAAATTTTCAAAATTAAGATTTATACCATTTTGAGCATAATATGAAATTGCTGACAAAATCTGTGTGGGGCTCAAATTATTACAGTATTGCCAAGGTGATTTCATCTTTGGAACTGATGTAAAAAGTTCATAATGATAATCACAACACATTGAGAATTCATTTGTATTAACAAGTGCTAGAGATAAAAAGATCAGAGATGAATGAGTTCTGGTTCTTAACTTCCAAAAGCTAATAATCTAGTGGAATAGCTAGACAAATAACTCAAAACAACACAATAAATTAAAAAATGAGAAGAAAGCAAGAGTTGTGAGGAGCATTACTTTTGACAGGACTACGGCATCAGGGAAAGATTCAGGAAAAAATTTGAATTAGATTTTAAGAAGAATATAGTATTTTCCCAAATAGAAATGAGCAGAGCACTTTAGTCAAAAGAATGAGTATTATGAAAGGCAGGGAGGCTAGGTATGGTGGCGTATGCCTGTAATTCAAGCACTTTGGGAGGCTGAGGCAGGAGGAACCCTTGAGCCCAGGGATTTGAAGGAATTTGAAGTTACAGTGAACTATGATGATACCACTGCACTCTAGCCAAGCAGCAGAGTAAGACCCTGTCACAAAAAAGAAAGAAAGAAAGAAAAGAAAAGAAAGAAAGAAAGAAAGAAAGAAAGAAAGAAAGAAGAAAAAGAAAGATAAAGAAAAGAAAAGAAAGAAGGGGGGGAAGTACATTTAAAGCTCCAAGGCAAGAGGAAATTTCCAATGTAACTGTAATATACAGCAGGAGATAAGGCAAGATAAGACAAGGACATTGAGAAATAGAATAAAAATGTGATTCTTTGGAACCAGGACATGAAAGAAAGAAAAAAAAAGAATAAAAATGTGAAATAAGACAATATATGGTAGTCTGCGCTTATGAGCTACATAAATAAACACTTAAAGTTACCTACAGGGGAAATCACAAAAAGAATACCAGGTGATCTCATAGGATTCAAGGATAGGAATGTACAGGGCTGCCACCACCATGGTAGGAGTGAGACTAAGCCTCAGGAATAAATGAATATGTGGATGTATTTCATCAGGATTCTTTCTGATCACTTCTCATTTTTGCTTTTCTCAGTATATAAGCCTCATTATTCTCTCACTGAAGATGCTTTCTCTCTATGCCTGAAAATGTGGCTTCTCAATTTTTTTTTCTCTTTTTTTAAAATCCATAGAATTTTACAGAATTAACTTCTTATAAGCTTTACATATTCCAGCTTTAGTTACCAAGCGAGAGAATGATCCTCTTCATCTCCGATTTTAAGATCCGGGGAAGGAACTCATTGGCTGGGGCTCATCTGATGTCTACTTCAAACTAGTTTTTGCATTGGGTCAGGGTCATGATCATGTAAGAACATGGCAGCTCCATCAGGAACTAAGTGGATGGAGTAAAAAGAAGGACAAGTTCTAGAATAAGGGAGGAGAACTGGGCAAAAAGTCCCATAGATGTTCACTTTCTTTCCTATGAGTATACAACCCCTTCCATTTTGCCCAATAGCTGTTGGCCTAGGATTAAGGTTTTTATCATGTTTCCAGCCTCATCTATAATGACTCCGTTCCTCTCTCTAGTTCACTCTCACTAGTCTCTTTACTGTCTTCCATACTGATTTTAATGTTTATAACTACATTTTTTCATGCTGTTTTCAAGGTTTTTCCTTTCACTAATATGGAATATTTTCTTTCCAATAGGATGGTTAGTGATTATTAGAGCATGCCAACATACTTTTCCTTATTATTTCTGAGTCTGGCATACTAGTTTAGTTAGTCATATATTAGTGTTAGGCCAAAGTCAGATATTTTATAACTATAAAAGCCAGTTATGGGCAGGTATGGTGGCTTACACCTGTAATCCCAGCATTTTGGGAGACTGAGGCAGGAGGATCACTTGTGGCCAAGAGTTTAGACCAGACAGCGTTGGCCTTGGCAACATAGTGAGATGCTGTCTCCTCAAAAAAATAAGAAAAAATTAGCTCCAGGCGTGGTAGCACACGCCCGTAGTCCCAGCTACTAGGGAGGCTGAGGCAGGAGGATTGCTTGAGTTGGAAGGTGCAGTGAGCTATTATTGCACCACTGCACTCCAGCCTAGAAGGCAGAGCAAGACCCTGTGTCTAAAACAAAAAAACAAACAAACCTCCCCTCCTCCTAAAACCCGGTTACCTTGCCTCTGTTTCACAGCTGAATACTATACTGTATACCTACGTGCCTATCTAAAAGATACTTATTACTGGTCATAAGAATGTAGCTTTCTCAGAAAAAAATTGTCACTGCTACCAGTAAAACAACTAAAAGAATATGGCTTAATTAGAACAATATGGCCAAACATGTTTGCTTAATACTGTGTGTTTCCTGAGGAAAGGGAAATTAGCAAATATTTTCTCTTTTTTGACACAGATATTGCATTCCTATACAAGATAGCCTTATACTGCTGAGGAGACAGAGGAAGTAGCATAAGATACACAGAAATTTATAAACATATTAAAAACACAGACATTTCCCTTGTAAAACCAGGTCTTTATTTTGACTACAGAATGGGACAGTATCAAGTGAAAGAAGCCTGAGGCACCAAGAAAAAGGATCAGAACTTTCTGTCCTCTGCCTTTTCCACATAGTCCTTTATGGGAACCAGTTCACTTCCTCCTTCAGTGGCAACAAAAGAGAAATTTTTCTGTGTTTCATCATTAATGTATTGACTATACTTTCTTTGAAAATCAAATACATTAATGTCCGTGGTCCTGGCTAGATGGGATTTAGGTAGGGTAATGTTCAAATATTCTTGACAGGGTCTTTTCCCCAACAACATAATTGTAACACCCGAACCTAACAAAATACATATTGTGGTAGGCAGAAGTCTAAGAGGCCCCCTGGTGTAAATATTTCATATAATCTCCTCCTGTAAATGCAGACACAACATGTGAATACAATGGAGTATCACTCTAGTGCTTAGGTGATTAATCAGTTGATGTTTGAGTTAATCAAAAGCAACATTGTCTAGGTGGGCTTGACTGAATCAGGAGAGCCCTTAAAAAGGCTTGAACCATTCCGGCAAGAAGAGATTCAAAGTGGGAGAGGGTATCTGCATGGAGCCAGACCAGAAGCAACTTCTGCAGCAGTAAGGAGCTGAAGGCAGACTCCAGCTGACTGCCAACAAGGGAATGGGGGCTTCAGTCCTACAATGCAAAGCAATGAAACTCTGATGACAACAACATGAGCTTGTAAGTTGGCCTTGGGGGACACTGAGCAGATAACTGAGTTCAGTTGTGCCCAGATTTCTGACCTACAGAAATGATGAGATAATAAATGGGTATTGTTTTAAGCTGCTAAATTTGTGGTAATCTGTTGCCCAGCAATAGAGAATTAATATACATGTGCATATGTAGACTGAATATATATGTTAACACATTGTGACTACGTAACAAAGAATTTGGAATTTAAAAAGATAACTATTTCAAATAGGCATAAAGATAATTTTTCTTACCAGTAAATTAATAAAAATGTTTGCAAATTTTAGGATACCAACATAAAGTAGCTTAATGAATGATTTTAAAACACTTGGTAATATTTTAGATGTAACTCTCTAGAATTTGACTACACTTTCTTTGAAAATCAAAGGTACATAAAGCATGCTCAGTAATATTACCTTAATACCACGAACTTCATATGCTATTCTGTGGTCAGTGACTCTATCCTGTGTGAAATTATACGTCCGAATTCTCTCTGACTGGGCTCTTGTTCCCACCTGTGCCATAACAAAAAGCAATTCATATTTTAGCTTTATAAATTATTACAGTGGAAAAATGACTTTTCTATTTTAACAGTTTAAATATTTTCTGAAAGTCACATACCCAAAGTGAGAAGGAACAAAAATGGACAGACCTTAATGTTTAAGACAACAGGTTTATAGAGCTTAATTATGGAATAAGAATGAATGTCTATTTCATACTTCAAACTCCAAGTATTTAAAATCAAATCAATCATCTTTCCACCCCAATCAGTTCTTCCTCCTGGTGTCTACAGATGACACCACCATATGTTCCCTTTTATCCAAGTAGAAAACTCTTGACATTCTGCAATTTAGCAGACATTTCATAGGAGCTTACGCCACCAGGCTTTGACATAGATGCTGGAGGAGCGACCACCTTCAATTCATTCCATTCTCAAACTGCCCATTTCCAATTGGTTTCAAGAGCCTCTTATTTATATCCTGCCCTTCTCATTTCTACTATCACTCAAGGGCTCATTACTTCCAATTACATTCCTGCAAAAATCTGACTAATCTTCCATTTTTCTGCTTATGTTGTACTGCCCTGCTTAGTCTTCCTAAAGCAAAGTTTTCTGATAAGTTTTCTTCTTTGGTTCCTTCCTGTCTACTAAACAGACACAACTCAATTTGGTATTCAAGGTACCTCACAATGTGGCCAACCTTCCCAACATTATTTCTGAAAATTATGTGGACTTCTATAATGCCACTTATTATACCATATCATTATTATGGGTGTGTCTGTTAACTCTGCTAAAACACCACCCCAAAGGATGCCCTTCCCTAACAGTCTCCTACCACCTCTGCCTTTCTGGTCCCAGCAATTGAAATATGTACTCTTCCTCCTCTGAAACCTCTTGCATTTGGAAATGTCTTCATGGCACACCACAGTTCGCCTCATGCTACCGTTACTTGCTTTCTTACTTTACTCATCTCCCCTACCTCCCCAACACACGATATACACAGTCCCACTCTCAATCATGTTCGCTTTTTAAGGGAAAAAAAAGACATTTCTATAACTCATTTCCTTAAACCCTAAGGCAATCAATATGAAACTAAATTCCTGATCATCAGGACAATTTTTTAAAATTATAGATTCCTAAGCCCAAACTCAGATATGCTGAATCAGGGATTGTGTTTTTTTGAAAACAATCCCCAGGCCATCCATTCTGACAATCAGCCAAGTTTGGACACTACTATTCCAAAGCACCGTATTAATGGCCAGGACCCCATCTAGATGAATGACATCAGAATCTCCAGGGTTGGGGTCAGGGCATCTACAAAGCTCTTTAGGTGATCAGAGGTGTCAGGGTTGAGAATCTGGTGTAATATCTTCCGTATAGAAGTCATTGTATATACTGGTTGGTGAAAAAGCTTATAAGCCTTAAATATCCCTACTAAAATGTTTAGGCAGGTGGACAAGTTATTCAAGAGGCAGAAAGGTCTTTTCTGGTTCCTCAAATCAGGCTACTGAAGAATATCCACAGGCTGGGCGTGGTGGCTCACGCCTGTAATCCTAGCTCTCTGGGAGGCCGAGGCGGGCGGATTGCTTGAGGTCAGGAGTTCGAAACCAGCCTGAGCAAGAGCAAGACCTCATCTCTACTATAAATAGAAAGAAATTAATTGGCCAACTAATATATATAGAAAAAATTAGCCAGGCATGGTGGCACATGCCTGTAGTCCCAGCTACTCGGGAGGCTGAGGCAGTAGGATTGCTTGAGCCCAGGAGTTTGAGGTTGCTGTGAGCTAGGCTGATGCCACGCCACTCACTCTAGCCTGGGCAACAAAACGAGACTCTGTCTCACACACACACAAAAAAAGAATATACACATATAAAATTCGCATAAAGCCAATCCTGAATACTTATTTTAAAAATTACTATGTGGAACCTCTCTGGTGCTGGAATGTTAAATGGCAAGTAAATCCAAATGTCTTTAATTAATTCACCTGTGGCAGGGTTCGCAGTATTTATGTTATCACTTACTGCCAAGAAGTAATGGTGTGTAAATGAGCATTCCTATCAGCAAATGTACATAGACACTACTCCACAATCTGGGATCACCACACTTGATCTTAGCCAAAAGGGGATTACCACAAATACAGTGTTAATATATTATTTATTCTGACACTTTTACTATAATACTTGCAAGTTAGAATGTGAGTAAAGAAAGCTAGGAAGACAATAGTGTGAAAAGGCTAGGACACATGTAGATAAAAGAATAAGTAAGGTTTATTCAATTCATTATCTTAAAAGGCCACAAAATCTTCCAAATTTAATTTACTGTAGCACATCTAACTGCAAATAACACAAAAGCATAGTTATTTCGGAGTACCACTTTCTCTTCCAACCTCTTTCAAAGACAGGCTTTACTTTTTATAGAATTTAAAATTATGTAATACTTTGTTTACTTAAAACAGTAAGATTTTCTCATTTTGCTTAGAATTTGTCTATTTATGTATTTGAATAAATATACATGTATATTATAAAAAATTCAAAAAGTACCAAAGGGTATAAAATGAAAAATAAATCTCCCTTTACCTCTTGTCCCCAGACACCATCAGTAGTAATCACTGTTCCCAGTTTTTGCAGTACCCTTTATGTTAATATTTAATTTCACAAATAGTTACAATAAAAGCATAGGTTTTTAATTTTAAAAATCTAAAAAGCTCTTAATTTCCAAAGAATTGTCTTTTAAACCAATCTCCTGTTAAGACAGTAATGATATAAACACTGGAAGAAAACAACTGAGAACTAATTTTTAGTTTACACATCTTTCATTTACTCATTTGCAAACTGGCATGCCCAAGTTTAGCCATAATCCAACATCAGTCCATATGCATTTAAGTTATTGCTTATTTACAAATGAGCACAAATAAACATGGTTCCCTATACTCATTTATTTCCATTTTAGTGAGAACAAACATTTTATTTTCTACATAAAATGTTGACATTTTACATAGAGCTACTAAATTATTACACTAAATAAATCTTACCTGGAGTTTCCTAGCACTTTGTTGCTGACACTTGTCTTTCTCAATAATCTGCTGGTAGAGTCTAGCTCTCAACACACGCAAAGCTATTTCTTTATTTTTTATTTGTGATCGTTCTTGTTGGCATTCTACTACTAGCCCTGAAAAATAATAGGGATCAGAGGTAAACTGTAGCCTTCATGGGCCAAATTAAAATAGAAGTGAGGAACATTTTTAAGGGGAGAGGTTAATTAGAAAGAGATCCCAAAAGATAAAAACATTTTAAATTTAGCACACTTCAGAAACTACCTAGGTTCTAATGGTAATAGCTGCAGATGGCTGTTTAGAGTCTGATATATAAACAAGATATCTGCAATAAGACTGAGAAGAGTAGATGGTTATATATCCTTTCATTCCCCAAGCTCTGCCTTTCCCTCCTAGCTCATTTAGGGATTTCTGCAGCTCAACTAAGAGCAAACCACTGCCACCCCCTATATGGGAGTGCCGCTCCATTCTCTGTCCTACTTGAGGAACCCAACCTTTCCCCTTTCAGTCACAAATACACACAGAGCTGAGGTTTTAAAAATACTTTTATATAAATAAACCAATAAAAAGAAACTACTCAAAGTCTTTAAAAGGAAGAGTCTATAGTGAATGTGTTTCTGAGTTGTCTGGGTTCTAGATTTCTAAATTGTTCTGAGTTGTGTCAGTGAGAGGGGTCCCAGCTAATCAATACATCTAACCACACTCGTTTTGGTTGGCCAACTTCTGGATTTCGGTGGGTTTGGCCCACCTTGTGGTCCAGTTCTTAGCCCAAATCTAGCCCTGAAATGGTCACTCTTGAGACTTCAGGCTATGCTGTTCTTAACTTTGCAGCTACCACTTTGAAGGTCTGTGTCTAATCTTGCATTAGAAAAGAAAGGCATTTTCCTTTCTGAAACCACAAAAACCCAAATCCAAAAACCAAAATCCATTAGCTTAGGCCAGTTTCACTGATATAGTGGTAGATATTTTGCTGGAGATTTAAAAAATTTCTATAAAATTCTACTTTCCAAACTATGTTTTCTCCCTGTCTAAATAAGCTGCAGTCTGTACCTGCTAATGCTTTTAGTAGGGCACCTAGGTTTCACGTCTATTAGTTTAAACTCACTTCTTGACTGCTTTCCTACAGGCAGTAGTTGTGCTAGGGGCATCAACTTGTCTCCATCTTCCAGCAATTTGCCTGGAGCTCTCTTGAATTTGCTATCCTCTTTTCACTACCCGAAAGAATATGAGTTTCCATGTGAAGATGGCCAGACTTGCATGAGCTTTCCTCCACATTCCTCTTCTTGTCAGCTGGAAGGAAACAACTGAGAACTAAGAGTTTTAAGAACTAGTGTTTAAGAACTAGTAATGATTTTTGCCTAAGCACCTGGCACTATTCCTAGTTACTGGCTCAAGACAGAACTTTTAGCTTAAAACTATTCCTCTGACAGATGATGTGTGAAGTCTGAAAGAAAAAACCAGAAAAAACAAAAAAAACTATTCCTTACCAGCTCAATAATTCCTAAGGGAATCACTTGATTATATAACTTAATATACTTTCTATCGGCCGGGCATGGTGGCTCACGCCTATAATCCTAGCACTCTGGGAGGCCGAGGCAGGCGGATTGCTTGAGATCAGGAGTTCGAAACCAGCCTGAGCGAGACCCCATCTCTACCAAAAATAGAAAGAAATTAATTGACCAACTAAAAATATATATACAAAAAATTAGCCGGGCATGGTAGCACATGCCTGTAGTCCCAGCTACTCGGGAGGCTGAGGCAGTGGGATCGCTTGAGCCCAGGAGATTGAGGTTGCTGTGAGCTAGGCTGATGCCACGACACTCACTGTAGCCTGGGCAACAAAGTGAGACTCTGTCTCAAAAAAAAATATATATATATATATATATATATATATATATGCTTTCTATAGAGGAATATTTAATAAAAAGTACTCCCTTAAGAATAGAGGATTTGGGGGAGTGAGGTAGGGTATACAGAATAATAGAAGAGTGGTTGAAAAAAGAAAGTGCTGGGGTTGTTAAAGGACTTTGGAAAAAATAAGTTTTATTTGTGGTTTTTCAACACTGTACAGGAAGATTCCAAAATTCTAGGTAACAATAGGCTTGTTGAAGTGGGTATTTAATATATATTTGCTAACTAATTAAAAGATTTGCAGTTATAAATAAGAATAAAAATACTGTCTTTTAATTCTAAAAAGTCCATTAAAAATATTCTAACACCTCTGGAACTGGAATGTGTCTTACAATCACTGGCATGTCATAGCTTAAACAGCAGAGCTTTTTTATTTCTTCATAGTAATAAAACAGTGATGTATCTTTCAATTGATGGGCTTTTAGATCAGATAAAATAAGTTTTATATATATATAAGTATATATAAAATGAAAGGTTAAATAAAAATCCTTTAACCTTAAAAGTACATACTGATGTAAAAGATAAAATCTGACCTGTAAGATTTAGGTGTTGTCAATAATATATGATAATGAAGGAAGGAAGGTAGTGTAAGAATTATAGAGGTCCACTTTTATTCACCAGCTGGTAACAAACTAAAAAGCCTGCTTTAAAGCACAAAAGACTCATTTGTCTTCATCATTATTTTGATAAGTTTTACCAAAAAAGGTAATTTTTCCCTGTATCAACATTTAACCATACCCCTATGTATAACTCTTCCAGTGGTAGAAAATGGAGTTATCTAGAAGCACTAGGTTAGAGAAAATGTGATTCTTCAGAGTCCATGGCATGGAGAATATGGAGAAATGACCTACAGTTCTCACTTTGAATTCTAGCAAGGACATAGTTCCCATCCTCAGGGTTTTGGTATGGAAGAAAGGACAGGAGAAATGGAAGAAAGGCTGAGTTTTCACTGAAGCAGATGCTTAAATCATGGCCAATCTTGAAATATAAAGAAGTAGACTCAAGAAATCACTGCTCATAACTATAAGGATTCACAAGATTGAGTTAGTAGGTCTTGATATGCCTGGCCTAAGGGGAAGGCTGGAAGATAAGCCATGAGGCCTCATTAAAATCAAAGAACTACTCCAACTGCACTACTTCTATAAAAAGAAGAAAAAAAAAAAAAATCAAAGAACTAGATCTAAGTGGCCCAAGGTAAGTTTGGGAAACTTTCCCAAGCATACTTGGGAAACTCTTCTGAATAGTTCTGCTCATTGTCTGCATCCTTTAAGAGAGGTACCTTTTCCAAACAGAAGGGGAATATGAACACAACAGGGACCTCTGATTTACAACCCCAATGCCATCCTGAAAGGGTTGTGCAAGGAACCAGACACTAACATAGGACTATTTCCTTAAAAATGCTGAATAGTTTTATAAGATGGGAATAAAGATCAAAAGTACAAAGGCCAAGGGACTTGCTTACCTGTGGGGATATGGACAAGTCTGACAGCACTATCTGTTGTATTAACATGCTGCCCTCCTGCTCCTTTGGCTCGAAATGTATCTATACGTAAATCCTTGGGGTCCAATTTCACATCTACCTACAAAAAAAGGCATAGCATAATTCTACACTCTATGAATACTAAGTCTATTCCAAAATTTTTCGAATAAACTGTACTGCTTTGTGTTAAGTAAGTTCTAGCCATTAGACTAAGAGGAGAAATAACTACACCAAAGAAAGAACCATAAACTCCCTATTCCAATAGGATACTATTTTTTAACAGACTTAGTATGTTATGAGATCACTGAGTTATGTAATCTTTTAAAGGTTTCATCATCCATCATCCCACAGTTACATGAAATAGAATATATATATAATACATATATATGTACTATTAATATATCGAGTTTCATTATTCCCGGAATCCCTTTTTGCAAATTTGCCTACTCACTAAGATTTATTTGTATCTTCATATCAATACCTGCAGCACTTTTACAGTCATTTGCAGACATGTGTAGAGTAGTGAAAAATATGAGTTGCTTTACATTTGCACATTCCCAGCTGAAGGATGACAAGGTGACACTCTGCCTTCTTTTCTCAGTTCTCCTAGAGAGCACACACACACATGGATTTAGCTAATACTGAAATACTGAACCACTACTCTTAATATTGATTTAGCAAATAAAGAACCATTGCTCCTAGGTGGTTCAGTATTCACTATATTAGTGTTTGCTGCAACTTTATAGACTATAACTACTGTGAATATTGAAAATCAATTCAATTTGTGTGTGTATTTATTAGTGCATTGAAAGGTGGCCTCCAAGATGATATGTTCATGTTCTAACTCCTGGAACTTTACTTGGAAAAAGGGTCTTTGCATATGTAATTGAGTTGAGATTATTCTGGATTATCCAGGTAGGATACGACAAGTGTCCTTATAATCGATAACTAGAGGAGAGAGATGAGAAGACCATATGAATTTGAAGGCAGAGATTTGAGTTGTATAGTTTCAAGCCAAGGAACACCTGGAGCCACCAGAAGCTGGAATATGCAAGAGAGGATTGTCCCCCAAAGCCTTCAGACAGAGCATGACCATACTGACAACTTGATTTTGGATTGCTGGCCAATAAAACTGTGAGAGAATAAATTACTGTTGTTTTAAGCCACCAAGTTTATGGTAATTTGTTACGGCAGCCTTCAGAAACTAATACACACACACAAACACACACATATATAAACAAATAGTTACCAAATATGCTGGGGTTTTTTTTGAGACAGAGTCTCGCTTTGTTGCCCAAGTTAGAGTGAGTGCCGTGGCATCAGCCTAGCTCATAGCAATCTCAAACTCCTGGGCTCCTACTGCCTCAGCCTCCCGAGTAGCTGGGACTACAGGCATGTGCCACCATGCCCGGCTAATTTCTTCTATATATATATATTAGTTGGCCAATTAATTTCTTTCTATTTATAGTAGAGACGGGGTCTCACTCTTGCTCAGGCTGGTTTTGAACTCCTGACCTCGAGCAATCTGCCCACCTCGGGCTCCCAGAGTGCTAGAATTACAGGTGTCAGCCACTACGCCTGGCCCAAATATGCTGTTTTTGACAGGTGATCTAACATTTCGTTCCACATTTGTCATTTATTAGCATGAATGACATAGCAAGGTGACTTTTCTCTTTCAAAAGTACACTAATAACAGGGTCAAGGTTGGAATCTAATATATCACTTGGTTGTTCTTTTGTATGTTTCCTCTAAAATAAGTACTATAGAGTGAAGAAAAAGATTATATAACTTTTGTTAAAATATGCTAATGTTGACTACTTTGAAATTTCTATAAACACTACTAAAGAGATTAAGAGTAATTTCTCATTTCTTGTGGTTATAGCATATTAAGTAGTTATATAGCAAATGTGTGGATATCATATGTCATATTCTCCCAAATGTTACAGAAACTACCTAATGAATTTTGGGGGAATTCTGAACACAGAAACAGTGACTTAATAATAAACACAGAATTTTAAAAGTCAATTAAAAAAACATGATTTTGTTTTTTTTAGAAAAGTGAAGTTCCATTAAATCAATTTAGTTTTCAAGAGTAAGAAGACAAAAACAGGATAGGTGGGAATAGGAATGAAGAAATAAGGAAGCAGCAAGATAAATCTATGGTGTTTTGATTTTTGAACCATGTTACATATGTACAAAAAATAAAGTAAAAGAGGAACAAAAAATCAAAACCTAAAATTAAATATAAACAGAAACAAATGAACCAAAATATTTATCATAATGATAACATAACCACACAGAAAAACATTATTAATATTTCAGATGATCTTTGAATATAGTGCTCTGACTATGCATTCTTGGTAGGATGTATTCTAAGGACAAAAATCTTACACATTACTCAGTAGTTTACTATTATCATGCTGATATTGTAATTTTAAAACTATTTTGTATATATTATATAATAAAGCAAATAAGTAAACACATTAAAATTATTATTTAACAAGATTTTTTTCTCTAAGTAGAAAGAGATATAAATATGAAATGCAAGAAGTTGGGGAAGACCAAAATCTCTACAATGTTAAAGTTGAATTGGTAATGCTAATATGAAGCTGTGACTTTAAAACATTTATTTCCTAGCTCTATCCACTGAAAGAGTCTAGAATTTGAGAACACTCTAGTAATAATGAGCATACCCTACTAACCAGATCTCGATTTCAGGGTACATTTCCCACCAAAATGAGCCAGGCTGAGTCCAGATTTGAGGCAGGATAATATAAAATGGGCCTGGGATATCTACTTGTACAGAAAGCATGGGCACACCCAAAGACCGATGGCATTATTTCAAAAGGACAAAAGGGGCAACCTAAAAAAGCTACCACAGGCCAAATTTGGGATGATTTGAACATCAAAAATAATAATGAGGCCAGGTGTGGTGGCTGACGCCTGTAAACCTAGCACTCTGGGAGGCCAAGGCGGGAGGATGGCTCTAGGTCAGGAGTTGGAAACCAGCCTGAGCAAGAGCGAGACCCCGTTTCTACTAAAAATAGAAAGAAATTAAGCCAAACAACTAAAAATATATAGAAAAAATTAGCTGGGCATGGTGGTGCATGCCTATAGTCCCAGCTACTCATGAGGCTGAGGCAGAAGGATTGCTTGAACCCAGGAGTTTGAGGTTGCCGTGAGCTAGGCTGATGCCACGGCACTCTAGCCCGGGCAACACAGTCAGACTCTGTCTCAAATAATAATAATAATAATAATAATAATAATGATTATAAGTCATTGAATTAAAATATAAATCCATGAGTATATAATGAAGTCAATACATGAAACTGGATATGAGTTTATAATGAAATCAAAAGAGAAAAAAAGGAAGAAGGTGGGGGTGTTGGGGGTGAGAAGGTAGTAGACAGGAAAGTTTTTTACAGAAGAATGCCAGTTAATAAATGTATAAGGAATGATAGGATTAGAAAATCACCATCTTGCAACCCTCAAACTAAGCAACTGACTCAGGCAAGGATCACCAACAGATGTTAAAATAATGGATGAAAGGTTATTGGGAAGATGGTGTATGTACCCTAGAGAATACTTAGTAATTGCAAATGGAGAAATATATTAATACTTTTACAATGTAGGTATTTTTGTGGTTACCATCTTAACTAAATGCTCAAACTAAGCCATACTAAAAGTGGGACAATCTAACATTGTGTGTCTTCTGATAAGATGCAACATGGTTATAACTGTACCTATGAAGTCTTCTTGCTCAAAATGTGTAATCTGAATGAAATGGAACATTCATTAATAGATATAACTTTTGCTATAATAGAGAGGATAAAGGAACAAGTTAAAGAGTACAATGAGGGAACAGAAGAATCCAGAATGTGGAACATTCTACAAGACCAATGGTTTAGACTCTTAAAGTCAGTATCAGTAAAAAAAAAAGTTGGGAGACTGTTCCAAACTCAAAGAAATATAACAGCTAATTGCAATGTGTGAAACTTGACAGAATACTAGTTTAAAAAAATAGCTATAGCTAGGCATGGTGGCACATGCCTGTAGTCCAGCTACTCAGAAGGTCTGAGGCAAGAGGATTGCCCAGAAATTCAAGTCTAGCTGGGTTAACATAGTGAGACCCTGTCTCTAAAAAGTAATTAAAATATAAATAAATCACTATAAAAATGCTTTTAAGTTGCCTGGGAAAACTGTTAAATGGACTGACTAGATATTACATAATATTACAGAATTATGGTTAATTTTCATAGATAAAAGTAGTGTGCTTATATAGAAGAATGTCCTTATTCTTAGGAGATGTATGGAAAAATGGAAGGAAAAGTCTCATGGTGTCTGCTATATCCTTTACAGTTCACTTAAAAAAATGTATATACAGATATATATATAGGAATCAACAAAATGTGAGAAAAGGTAAATAATTACAACCTCAGATGAAGGTTATAAAAGTTTTTATTGTGGCAGTCTTTTAACTTTCTGTATGTTTAGAAAAAGGTCAGAGAAAAGAAAATATAGGGAAGATGGCTGTATTCAACTAAAAAGACATATAGAAAGATATATAGACTCCATACAGATATTATATCACTGAACTTGATATTATCTGTGTAATTCAATTTTTTTCTTAAGATAAAACATAGGCACCAACATTAAAAAAGGTCTGTGGATTCTGTTTTTTTTTAAAAGAAGTGATTTCTACTTAAAACAGTATCTTGGTCAGGCATAAGAGGGGAAACTTTATCTGAGGAAGAGTTAAAGATTTCCCATTATAGACTGTAAAGTTCAATCCATACCCATGAAAAGAACAGATTTTCCTGTAAGGCTTTTAGCACAATACCCATTTACATGGAGTGAGTTTTCCGTGCCTCCTGGTGAGGTTACCTCATCTGGTTGAGGAAGGACAATAACTGACATTGTTCCTGTGTGAATACGCTGCATCCGTGACGACAGGCCCACCTCAGGGATTCGCTGAACTCGGTGAATCCCACCTTCATACTTCAAATGCTTATAGACATTGTCACCAGAAATTCGGGCAGCTGCATGATGTAGTCCACCTAGGGAAAAAAAAATCCTGAAATACCAATGAATTCTAGTTTGAAAGGGATCAGGATTCTAAATGTCCTTAATCTAAGGCCTGAATGTGAGTATAGAGCCTGAGATGAGAACATATAATATGTACAAAACTATATTTTCCCAATGTAAATGTGTTTATAAAAGGAAACATACCAAAATATTATTTATGGTTATCTCTCAGTAGTAGACTTTTTACTTTCTCAAACTCCTGGGCTCAAGCAATCCTTCTGCCTCAGCCTCCCAAGTAGCCATGACTACAGGCATGCGCCACCATGCCCAGCTAACTTTTTCTATATATATATTAGCTGGCCAATTAATTTCTTTCTATTTATAGTAGACATGGGGACTCGCCCTTGCTTAGGCTGGTTTCGAACTCCTGACCTCGAGCAATACACTCACCTGGGCCTCCCAGAGTGCTAGGATTATAGGTGTAAGTCACCGCGCCGGGCCAACTTTTTACTTTTTATACTTTTTTATTTCTAAATTTTCTATAATAAACAAGTTTTATTTTTATAATCAGAAAAAAAATGCTATTACAACAAAAAAGAATATGGCGATGTTTTCTGCATTAAACTAACTTGTGCAGTCTTAGGCCAATATGGTGTCATGTATATAAAAGAATGCTGAATAACAGAATAATTTCATAATATTGAATAACTCTAGAAGGAGTTTTCAGGAATTTATACTGAAAGTTAGCTTTTGGTTTTCTGTGGAGTGGGAAGAGTATCACAAAATAACAGCCTTGGCTAACTTATTCTTATCTAACAAGTTTTAAAAGAAAACATTTTAATGATACAGTTATACATAGAGACAGAAAAATGCTAATGAACACCAACTAGGTCAAGAAGCAGAACTTTAATTAGCTGGGCATGGTGATGCATGCCTATAGTCCCAGCTACTCGGGAGGCTGAGGCAGGAGGATTGCTTGAGCCCAGGAGTTTGAGGTTGCTGTGAGCTAGGCTGACGCCATGGCACTCTAGCCCAGGCAACAAAGTGAGACTCCGTCTCAAAAAAAAAAAGAAAGAAACAGAACTTTGCTAGTCACCCCAAAGCCCTCCCATAAGTCCTTCCCAGTCATAATCCTTTCCCTTCCCCATGAGTAACCATTATATTGACTTTATTATAATGTTATTACCTAAATGTGTAACCCTAGGCAATATAGTTTTTAGTTTTGTCCATTTAAAAAATTTTGATGTCTTTTAAGTTTCTTAGTCCACATGTGCATCATCTATTTGTTTCATTTCCTATAAGCTATCTGTTGAGGAACCTGAGCTGCTGACCAGTAGGACTTCCAACAGTCTGGTCTTGCTGCAATCCAACCTGTTCTGCTGCCCTCTGTATTATTGGCTGCAATTTGGCAGCCGATCCAGAGACTGGATCAGGCAACAGCTTGAGCCCCTTCACAAGACTACAGGAGGCATATGATGTCTGGATGCCTCTCTTTTTATGGTCTTGACAGCCTTTGATGCTTAACGCATCACTGGGGGTTATAAAATGGTGATAGTCTAATTCTACCATTTCTTTCTCACTTACTAGTTAAAATACACTTATAAGAGATACCTCCCCTTGTCTATTATTTGATCACTCAGTAAAATAGCTATATAGGAAAGGCAGGACAAATGTTTCATTCTGTCCATTTACCAGTTTTACCAATAAACTAACATTTTTTTTTTTTTGCAATACACTGAACTTGTTCCTTTTAATTTTTAATCCTCTAAAGATAATCAATTAAAATTTTAAAAAATCACTATGAACTCAAGAATTTAAACACATCTAGCATGTTTAAATCAATTGCAATTATTATTATTGAAGTGTCACTGTGTTACTTTTGGTCACTGGGAGCTTCCTCAAGTTAACTTCTGATGAAAATGTCTGATGAAAATCTAATTTTCTTTCCTTTATAAGTCACACGTCTTTGTTTCTATAATACCAATGGATCTTCTTTTTTTTTTTTTGAGACAGAGTCTCACTTTGTTGCCCTGGCTAGAGTGAGTGCCATGGCGTCAGCCTAGCTCACAGCAACCTCAAACTCCTGGGCTCAAGCAATCCTCCTGCCTCAGCCTCCCGCGTAGCTGGGACTACAGGCATGCGCCACCATGCCCGGCTAATTTTTTCTATATATATTAGTTGGCCAATTAATTTCTTTCTATTTATAGTAGAGACAGGGTCTCGCTCTTGCTCAGGCTGGTTTCGAACTCCTGACCTCGAGCAATCCACCCACCTTGGCCTCCCAGAGTGTTAGGATTACAGGCGTGAGCCACCACGCCCGGCCAGACCAATGGATCTTTACCTTTTTTATTTTAAGTCCAAAAGTTTTACTAGAATATATCTTAGTGTTGATTATTTTAGCTGGATATTTTCAGATGTGCTCTTTAAATATATGGCTTCAAATATATGTATTTTTCTATTTCAGAAGAGTTTTCTTGAAACATAGATGTTAGTACTTGTCCTAGGCAGCTTCAAAGGTGGTGCCCCATGACCCCTGCCTCCTGGTATTCACACCCTTATATGGTCTATATGATCAATATAGATGATATATATGATCAGATGGTCTATATGATCAATAGCATACAGCAGAGATGCTACTATGTCAACTTCTGAGATTAGATTATAAAGAACCATGGCTTCCGTCTTGGGTGCTGGCTTACATTCCTGCATCGCTCACTTGGGAGAAACAGGTTGCCATATTGTGAGCAGCCCTATGGGGAGGTCCTCATGGTGAGAAACACACCTGCCAACAAACATATGAGTGACTTGAAAGCAGATCTTTAAGCCAAGGGTTGACATGACTACGGCCCCACTCAACAGCTTCACTGAAATCCTGTACCAGAATCACTCAGGAAAGCAGCTCCCTGATTCCTGACATTCATATATTCTGAGATAAAAAAATGTTTGTTGCTTTAAAGCTGCTAAGCATTAGGTAATTTGGCTTTTTGATTTTTATTTATTTTATTTTTTACCTTGCAGCTTCAGCTCAAAGGAAGATTTGGGTAATCTGTTACTTAGGAATAGATACTGAATATAGTACCTGCTCTGACTCTTTTTATCATATAATCTTTTTGCTTATCATCAATACTTGTCATTTTCCTTCATCCTTTTTTATTTTTCTTTTTAATTTAAAAAAAATTACCTTTTTTTGACTACTGCTTTCTTAAGGAATTAAATGTTCTGTTTATACACTCATATGTTCCCGCTGATTTATTCATTTCTCAAATGATTTTTATTTTATTTCTAATTCTTTCCTGAGTCTGTCACTTCATTTCTTCTAATCCTGATTTATGAGGCTCTTTCACAGACACATTGTTGTCTTAATGTTTCATTTGAAATAGATTAGTTTTGATCTGTTTTTTTTTTAAACGCACGCTCTGCTCAATGATCTGTTTTCTAGACACATATTTCTAGTGTGCTTTCATTGTCTATAGGAATATTATTCTGCTCCTTATTCTTTTTTTCTCATAAAATTTTCTATGGAATTTGACTTTGATATTTCCCTTATTTTTATGTGAAATAACTTTTCCTTAAGTTTTAGAATGAGGCCAAGCGTAGGAAGGCTTTTCTAATTTCCCAGAGTTCTCTTTTCTGTGGCTTTGTGTGATCTTCAAATAAACAGTGACCTGCTTGCTGGTACTTCCTGGCTGTTCTCCCTGACTTTGGTCTAGATCTTCTTTTTCCCTCTTTATTCCTGTCCTGCCCCCTTTTTTTTTTTTTCCAATTCTATACACAGCTGATGAACTGTCCTGCTCAATTTGATTCTATTCCTAGCAGTTAGTTCTTCCTCAGTCTGGGGCTGTTCTAGAAGCAAGCACTGGAGGCTCCATTTTGAGAGATCAGGGGGGCTAGATGGCTCTGGCCTCTTAAGATCTTCTTACCTAAGGTCTGAGCAGTCATCAGTCACTGTTGAATAAAGCAAAATTTCTCCTAGTTTCTGCCCATGTTCACAATTGACTCTCAAATTCCACAGAATAACCATTAGTTATGTGGGTTCTCTAGTTTTCACATCAGTCAGATGCCACCCCACTGCTTCCTTCTTCCTCCTTCTTGTTTATATTCCATGCAGGTCCTATGGCTATTGGTGGTTTGCCCCAACCTCTCATATTTTGGGGTTTTGTGGGGATGCCTTGCAACTGATGTTAGCATAAATGCTGCCCATGGGTTTTAGTTTTGCTATCCAGTTGGTCTGTATGGTCTTTCATGGGGATCCAGAGAGAATGAAAACTATGCTGCCACTGTAGCTACCATCTTCCTAATATGCTTCTAATGAACACACAATAACCTTAACCCATTTAGTTTCTAAAGTCAGTAAGTTAGACAAAAATTGGGTATAGTTTTAAATTATCCTTGAAAATGGGGAGCTCTCTGAACCTATACTGGTACAGAGTGCTGTTCATAAAAATAAAGAAAAACAGAAAATGTTTTAGGAAGGTATCTTATCAGAGGTCAAAATATTGTCTCTTAATAAGTCTAATACAGCTGGCCTTTCTCAGTAGTGGAAGAGATTACTGTTAATCTTCTTGAATACCAGATAAAGAACATGATGTGCATTTAGGGGACAGAGGATATGAGAAAGCTAATTGTTTAACATTCACACTCAGTGTGGTAAGATGGTCATATGATGAAAGATAACCAGGAACTGAAATAGAGTGAAGCCACAACAAATTTAAATTTGCCATCTCATATTCACACTGTACTTTAAAAATTAATTCCCCTTCCCCTCTACTTCATGTCACATGCAAACAGTTGAATTAAAGTGAGTGAATAGGCTGGGCGCGGTGGCTCTCACCTGTAATCCTAGCACTCTAGGAGGCCGAGGCGGGTGGATCGCTCAAGGTCAGGAGTTCGAAACCAGCCTGAGCGAGACCCCATCTCTACCAAAAATAGGAAGAAATTAATTGACCAACTACAAATATATATATACAAAAAATTAGCTGGGCATGGTGGCGCATGCCTGTAGTCCCAGCTACTTGGGAGGCTGAGGCAGTAG